TGGGTTGGAGCAATCCCAAACATAAATACAGCCTGGGCAATAAGTGGCTTGAGATCAGCTCCAAAGAGAAGAACTTGGGAGTGGTGGTAGACAAGAAGCTGAACATGAGCCGCCAATGTGCACTTGCAGCCCAGAAGGACAATAACCATATCCTGGGCTGCATCAAGAGAAGTGTGGCCAGCAGGTCGAGGGAGGTGATTCTCCCCCTCTACTCTGCTCTCCTAAGGCCCCACCTGGAGTACTGTGTCCAGTTCTGGAGCTCCCAGCAGAAGAAAGATATGGACCTGTCAGAATGAGTCCAGAGGAGGCCACGAGGATGATCCGAGGGCTGGAGCACCTCTCCTATGAGGACAGGCTGAGACAGTTGGGGCTGTTTAGCCTGGAAAAGGGAAGGATTAGGGGAGATCTTATAGTGGCCTTCCAGTGCCTGAAGGGGCTACAAGAAAGCTGTTGAGGGACTTTTTACAAAGGCAGGTAGTGAGAGAACAAGGGGAAATGGTTTTAAACTAGAAGAGGGTAGGTTTAGATTAGATATTAGGAAGAAGTTTTTCACTGTGAGGGTGGTGAGACACTGGAACAGGTTGCCCAAGGAAGCTGTGGATGCTCCCTCCCTGGAAGTGTTGGATGAGGCTTTGGGCAACCTGGTCTAGTGGAAGGTGTCCCTGCTCAAGGCAGGAGGGTTGGAACTGGATGATCTTTAAGTTCCCTTCCAACAGAAACAATTCTATGATTCTATAGACTGAAGCTTTTCTCCCTACGTCCTTTTGCATACTGAATGGGGATAGCTACACTGGTATGTATCAGAGAGGTATTGAGTAATAAATATAGCAACACTTAAAGTCTGACCTGCTAAGTGAATTTTCCCATCATCTCAGACTCTCATCAGATCTGGCCATAAGATAAATGGACCAAACAGTGCCATGATTCAGCTAAGATTATACACAGAGAAACAGATCTCAGCCTTTCACGCTGCTAATTGCTTTCATAATAGGGAAATGTATGTAAAAGAGGTTCTGTAACGTAATGGGTGAGGCAGCAAGAATGAATAGGTGTTAATCTAGACTAACACTGGAAATAATATACACATATTTCACCTCTGCAACAACATACCAAGAGAAGTGGTGGATTCTCTTTTGTTTTGAAATCTTAAATCAAGTTTCACTATATTTCTAACAACTGCGTTCAAGCTGCTGAATGCAAACACCAGATTAAATTCTCAGGTCTATTAATTCAAGAGAGTAGATCAACATAATGATTTTACCTGACACCCACGTACATTTTAGCAACTGATGACAAAGCTTTCACTGAAGATGTAATATTCCTAACCTAAGGCTCCTTTAGTTAAATAGTTAGTATATAAGAATATTTACCTCTTCCTTCTTAGTTTCATGTGCTCGCTGGACAAACCAGATTACTTTTGCTTGTAAGGTCCGAGGGGTGCACTCCAGAAGAGTGCTGTTGTACTCTATTCCATAAACAAGTCGTTCCTCAGTCTTCTCTAGGACTTCACCTGGAAGGAAAATAAGTATTTTAAAAAGGTGTTACTGTCAATACTTTATATTCAGGGTATATTTACTTTTAAGAGTGAAGTTTAATTCCGATTCAACCAGACAGTGACTGAAAAGTAGTGTCTTATGAAGATCTGACCTGATAAATGAATTTTCCCATAATCCCAGACTGTCACAGAATTTGGCCATAAGATAAATGGATCAAATTGTGCCCTGACTCAGCTAAGATTATACACAGAAAAACAGATCTCAGCCTTTCAGAGTGCTAATTGCTTGTGCCTGGTTCTTATGAATAGTTCCTCTATTTCATTTTCATTAAGTGAAAAACATGCTTAAGTATAATACATAGTTAAATATTTTTAGTTATAAAAATAAAAGCTTTTTGCAGAATGAAACTCTTAAAAACTAAAAATACCCTAATCAATATTATACATATCCATGTTACACAGATGTAAAATGAATGTGCAGTTTTGACCCAAGGGTGATAATAAAAACAAGGTGAACAAAATTAATCAAAACTCAATTCTGCTTTTTCATCCAACAAAACATCTGGAGGAAGATAAGATGGATGTTTCACTGGAGGAGATAAATTGCCTTATTAATGAAATCATCTTATTCCATAGTACTGAGAAATATTCTTGAGACTAATCAGTTTTATACTCTAAAAAAACAGAGTTTGATATCATTGTGTTGTATCTCTGTTGTATTTCAAACTTATGATATAATTAGTATTTCATATTGGAATATATTTTTCAAAAATCTACTATATACTCCAATGAATTTTAATGAAGCTTTCTCTGGAAAAATATCTATCTAAAGTGTAATAGCGAAAATATCTTTTCTCTGGATATCTATCTAAAAGAACATTTTATGTTCTATTTTTTTTTTCTTCTTTCAAGTTATTGGACGTCATCCTGCAAAATACTGAGGATGTTCAGACAACTGTTTTCTGCCTGTTTTGCCATTCCCAATACTGATGTTTGAAAACATCCAAGGTTCGGACAACAGCATTAGACAGAGTAATCCATCTCTTTTTAGGACAAATTTTGATAATGATGATGAATACACATTTATATTCTGACATATTATTGCCCATGTCTGTGCTATGGAGCTCCTTCAATTCTGGCTGAGTGTCCTGGCAGTATTTCATTTCATTAATTTCAGGATGCAGCCCTGCTGTTTCTTATCCCTGCCCCATTTTCCCGCTTGAGTTTCTGCTGAAAGCCCTTGAGACGCATTAGCCACACCCCTAGTCTGAAAAACAGGGCTGCAGGTCTATGTGAACACCACAGGATCCACCTGACCCGCCATCGAATCAAAGTCATTCTTAAACCTGGATCACATGAACTCATCCCAATGACTCTTTATAGGAACACGTCAGTAAAAAAACTCAGGTGAGATCATGGTCTGGCTCATACTCTTGGCAAAGTCTGTGTTTTCTGCTCCAGGCACTTGCTAGCAATTTGTAAATGTGTAAGTAGATTACCAATGAACTGTTGGCCAAAGCACTGCTGTGCTGCATTTCCGTGTCGAACATCTTGTCTGCGGAAACGTCTGCAGATGGAAAAATGGAATTACTTGAGAGAACAAATTTACCTTACATACTGTTGGGTTTATGCTGAAGTGACATTCATTAAAAATATAAGGAGCTAAATCCTGATTCCTAAAAATTTAGCTTTGTTGTGAGAAGTACTCACACACTGGTATTTTCTCTCTATTCAGCCTATTGGAAATCACGTGTCTGAAAGAAATGAATGTGAAGGGGCACAACTACACATCCAGTTTATACAGAACCACACAATAAATACTAAACTAAGATCCTCTGAACCAACTTGTCAACATTCAGTGCTAGGACAACTCAAAGGGACCTTTAGCCTGTCTTTGGATTTTCTCTCTCTAGAAGGCAAGGAAATCCTCCTTTTTTAGTTTAGAACAGTTTCCCATGTATGTGAATGGTAGTTCGTTTATCCTTCACTGTCATGTAATTTTTTTTCACTTGAGAATCTCAAAGTGCAGAGCAAAAACTTCATTTTATTACATCTATGTAGCAGACAGTTGTTAAACTCCTTTTTCTCAATAGTGAAACAGACACAGACACGACTTGACCGTGCCTAGAAATTGAGATAGTGGCAGATCTGCAGCCAGAACCTGTGAGCCCTGGCTGCAGCCTGGAAATAGTGCATTGCTTTTGAAAGAAAAAATGTGAGTTTTGGTGAGGTTTTGATTTTTTTACATACATTCACAGAAAACTGCAATGGTACGGCGCATTCCCAAAAGAATTGTGCTTTTATATGGCAATTTTTTTTTTTCTCTAAGTGTCCTAATAAATAAAATTAAGATTGCTTACTAGGGAAATGAAAGAGCCTATTGGAATGTCATATCTTGCCAGCTGTAGTATTTCCAACAACCTGGAATTTAGTTATGCTAAGGATATCTTTCTCATTTTGCATAAAGAGCAATTCTACACAGTATTACCAGTGCCATACATAACAGATTAACAGAAATATGCAATGTAGCAAATCTTACACAGCAGGTATGTGTACAGTATAAATAATATATGATAGAAACAAGCAAAGCCAAGGAGGTTTTTATTTGCATTTACCACTTAAAAAATACTTTTCCCAATGTTATGTGAACACAAAAGGAAGAATTTTTATGTGGCACAAAATGAATTTACTGAAACCATGTAGATTTATACTAGCTAAAGATCGTGCTCATGGATGTTACTCATTGTATTTCAAGAGCTGGACTTGATGATCCTTGTGGATCCCTTCCAACTCACAACATTCTATGATTCTAAACTGGCAGTAGGAAGTGATAATTTTCTGAGTTCAGTCACCTCTATGGACTTACGATCCAGTGGTTCTGGTGGACCAAGGGGACAGCTTTAACTTTTACTGATATTCATAGCAGAACTAATGTTCTTATTTCAGGAGAATCTTCAAATTCAGTGGGGACTGCATTGGGACTTTTAGGCAAAAGAGCTAAAAATGCATGCATAGTATTAAACAAAAACTGAGATTCTGAGATAGCAGCAGGGCTTTATCATGCCCTGGGAGTTCTCATTGTAATGTATAGATGCTGCCCCTGTGCTTACTGATAACTCTGCAAGGTGTCAGTGCTGAATAATGCTGCCACCAGCTTTGCATATCTGTATGTACAAAGTATTCAGAAGAGACATTCTGTTGCACAAATATACATAAATACTACAGACATTAGACTTTAAAAAAATAAAGAAAAAAACCCCATTGCTGTCCAGCACAGCAGTCCTATCTAGCAGGAACAGGACAGTTAGAAGCCATGAACTATTTACTCTTCAGTTCCTGAAGATCACCATGGAGCTAAAATAATCCTAGTCCTGTAGGAAAGGATTTTTCTTCAGTTGTTAGAATCATTCAAGAAAACAAATGCTTGTTTGATGGAATTTTGCTGTTATGAGTGTGAAGACTGAGAAAGATACATTTACTTATGCCTTCACTTGCTACTTCTTTTGAAGAGAAAGAAAAAATGATGAGAGCTGCTGAAAGAGAGGGAAATGCTGGGAGGCAAATTTATTTCACAAATACTGACATAAGTCTGGTATTTATTTTTCCTTAGTAATCATTTCATTCAGAATTTCATGAATAACAGAGTACCAGACAATTCCTGAGATAAACTACTGTAAAGACAAATTTTTAGTGACTAGCAAATGTACTGAATATATGGAAGTGTCTTTTGCAATCTATAACTTCATGAATTTAGATTTCAGAGTGTAACCCTGTGCTTTCAGGAACTTAATAAAAATGACCTGCAAGAAAGCAATACAGTCATTATGATAATCTTCACCATCACCCTCATGTTTCTTTTTTGCTTCCCAGGGACAGATGAGGCAAAGTCAAAACAGCTCAGGAAGAAGAGGCATCATTGCAGTCTGCGTAAATTAATCAGTAGGTTGAGTTTTAATTATCCCTACCAAATGTTACAGCAGAGTGACCTTTGGGTTGGCACTGGGATTTATCTGCAAGGTGAAGGCAGCCCCACCCTGCCCCTCCCCACCCTTTTTCAGCCTAGACAGAGAGCTGGCACAACAAAGCATCTCACTTGTAGAACTGAGTGCTTGTTTAGATAAAAATGAACCTGCCTAAATCAGATTGCAGAGCTAATAGTGAACTAAAGAATTTCTTTAAGTCCTGGACTTCTCTGCTTTCTCAAGCACACTTTATGGAAGTTGAATGCAATATAATTTCCTTCTGGCATCTTAAGTATTTACAGTATGCAGGAGCTTTATACCTGTAACTACCATGATATTGTAGTATGCTGCACTGCCAGCATCAAGATAAGGCATTTTGGGCTCAGTTTTTATTTGTCCTTAATTAAATCCTATATCTAATTAATTATCCAGGCTATGAATTTACAAGAAATTATAATACAGGCTTTCACAATTCAACAAATTACTACCAGCTGTCAAGCAAAGGGTTTTTTGTATTTATGCTGTAGTTCTCCCTATATCCTGTACATGCCTTAGTTTACAGTTTTCTTATTTCATGTTTCTCTAAACACTTGTCATACTTTGGATGCATTAGGATCTAAAGCAGAGAGCATTTGAATCAAAGTGAGATGGACACATTGTACATCCCTGCTTCAGTTCAACTCTTCTCTAGTAGGACTGGAATTAGAGAGAGAGCTCTTAGCAGTGCTCATACTGCACTAGCAGGGCTGCTCTTAACAAGTCAAAAGCCCACCTAAAGGCCACATTTGGGCAGACAGTGGTGGTATTAAAGCCAGCTCAAGTGTGTTGTAATGCAAGGCATAGCTCCATAAGTCCTGATGAAATGACAGCTGCCAGGAATGAGGAGAACAAGACCTCTCCAACACCCCTTATATTCACATTACTTATACTACCCAGTACAGCTTGTGCAGAAATCTGTAGCCCTGAGACAAGGCCAAATCAAAATGTGCATGCTCTGGGACGTAGTGTTAATTGTATCTGGAGCTCAGGGCAGCTATGGCAGGGTTGCTGCTTTCTCAGGGTCACTTGGCTTCAGAAAACTCCATGTTGTCTACTGAGACCTGCCTTTTCCAGCAGCGCTCTCCACCAGGAACCCAGCAGGAGGCAACTCAAAACAACTTCCAACATGTGTCCTGAGTAATTGTCTCTGCCTCTCCATGTACTACACAGTTAGTGTAATCAACTAAGTTTAAAATGCTCAAAGCTTCAGCTGTGAGCTAAAGTGAACAAAGCAAATGCCATCCATCCCTCTCAATATTATTAGCTCTTGCTGGATCTTCCCAAACTCCTATATGCAAAACAAGTTTTGCAGACTTCAAGAACATTCAATTGAGTGCAAATCCCTTCTCCACTGCTGCAGTGCTTATCTTAAGAGAAGGAGGGTGATAACAGCTGTATTTTCTTCTTTTAGAGACTGACCTGCTGACTGTTGGGGAGGTAAGGCACAGGAAGGTGCCTGGGGTGCTGCCCATATCACTCAACCCTGGATAAATGCCTGTATCAGGGGACTTAAAGGCTGCTACTCTGGAAATTGTCTTAGGTGAGAAATATGCTAAAAATGTACAACAGAGTTCAGGACCGAGTGAGTTTCTCTTATCTTTTCTTAGACAATAAGTAGCCTGCAGAACAACATAAATACTGATACAGTTCTAGCAGGCTAGTAGGAAATTAAAAAAAAAAAAAAAAAATCCAGACTCTTCTCACATTGAGCAGACAACCAGAGCCCACTTCCTCCCTTAGGACTGCTTGCAAGAGACATGAGGAGACTCTGCAATCCTGCTTGTAAAAGTGGTGTAGATTTCCTATTTGGTTTAACCTATGACTTAGTTTAACAAGTCCAAGAAATTCTTAATTATACTGAGTCATTGGCTGTATTTCTTGTTTTTACTTTTTAATCTACTCTACCCAAAAAGTTGTGTTATTCAATGTAATATGACTGCGTTTATTATGTTTTAGAAAAAAACCACAGAAATGTCTGGCTATAGTCAACAGTCATTTGTTTGAGTGCACTCAGGTTCATGGAAAGATAAGATGTGCAGAATAAAAAAAAAAACAAACCCCAAACCCACAAAAAAACCCCAACCAACTGAACAAAAAACAAAACACCCCAAAAAACCTGACCTTCCCTGTTTTCCTTAAGAAAAAATAAATTTGGGACACTATAACTTGGTTTTGACCAAACCATTTCCACTGTTTTTCAAAACTACCTCCAGAAGTTACAAATTCATTCTAATCCTTGCAGTCCATGTAGGTCTACTACATATAAGCATATATTTGCAGAAACAGTAATTGTATAAAAGCTGCAGAAAGGATTTGAATTATACATTACCAAAGTTTTGCTGAGGCTAGAAATTTCTCAAGTGGCAAAGCTGACTTAAAATCTTGTGAAAAGATCTGCATTAAAATTTGCATGGTTTAGATACTTGATCAAGTGTCTGTGTAGCTGAATTGGAGAACCTAGCTTTGAGAGGGAACGGAAGAGGACAGGTATATGGGAAGTTACTGCACAAGAGAGTGAAGGCCAAGAGTCATGAATAAGTGAATGGTGATAGACAGGAGAAGTCTCCCCAGGGGAAGAATTAAAGCACCCAAATTAGGTTTGCACTTTGAGCTGACCTCTGGAGTGACTTGTCTTTATAAATTCACTGGAGAAAGCCTAAACCTAACTTTAGCTTTTGCAGATGATCTGGTTTCATTTTGACTGGTGACGGTATTTGACTATTAATGCAGTTTCTTCTTTGCTTTTTTTGGAAATTCTGTTATATGTGTGTTATTGCAGTGTGATATATTTGCTGTACAATACTACCAAAATAGATCTCTGATATTGTAAATAATATTTCCTCTGCATACCACAAGATATAGAAGGAAATTGAGGTTTGTTTAGAACTTACTGCAAATAACTACTACGGGACTTTGCTTCATTCATAAAAATATTCCTGGTACTGCAATTTATGTAATCCTGTTAATCTGGGTTCTTCACAATTCCCTAAGGTTGTGCTAATAAATTAGCAGCAAACATATATTCTTACTGCTCAGTTATTTTTACAAAGGTGAGATAAGAAATACTTTGTGTTGCAGTAGGAATTCTGTAGTAGTATCTGTCTTGCAAAACGGACATCATAGAAAAGAGCAGTTCTCACCTCTTTGCCTGCATTCCTGTGGGATAGTATCGGGAGCAGGAGATACCATCCCAAGCACAGTACGGATCTCGAGCAAGGCAGCAGTCCGCACAGGCGGTGCCGTACATGTCACACTGATGGAACTTCACTTGTACTATGACTGACTCAGATCCAACGTAGAGCTGTTGCTGGAAAAAAATACAACACGTACGATTAAATTGATAGAATTTCCACTAAAATTTTTGTTGCCAATAGAGTTATTAAAAAATGTTAGCTTTAGCGTTGCTTGCTAGTTGTGCATCCAGCCAGTGTCCTGAGGGAGGCAGAGTTACTCTGTCGGAAAGTATCCGATTACAGACTAAACTCTCCTGCATGAGGACAGAGGAGGGAAAGAAAGTAAAATGTACAAGTCTATTTTGGCATTTCTTTGCTTATGAAGTTTCAGCTTTGTAAGATTTGTGTTTGAATAGGCAGGGGTTTAAGTTTCTTTTTCTCCCTGAAAATAGTTTCCAATGCCTTCTTCTTTACACTTCTCTGTCACATAACTGATCTGCGGAAAAACACTTGACATGAAATGCTTTAAACAAAGAAATTCAAATTTGCAAAAATTATAAGCAATCTCAGTCTTAAAATGGGAGTTATCAAGTAAATGTAACTCTTGATGTGGCTACTTATATTATCGCCGTATAGATGAATGCACAGTAGGACTATGATTTGTTTCATCCCTCAGTGCACCAGAAATGGTAGATTTTTATTTTTTTTCTTGGTACTGTGCAGACTTTCCTTACAAATTAAGTGGTCTTAATCTACTTCTTTAATATTTATTTGCAAAGATTTGTGGGTTTTTTTCAGCATCAGTGCTAGGACTGTTTGAATCTTCTGAGTTCACATAAATGTCCTTTTCAAATCAAGTGAAAGATAATCAGTCTAATTCATGAGTTGCTGGCATAATAAATTCAGAAGAGAATAAATTGAATTTACAGGGATTTGAGAAAAAATCTTGTTGCTGATGAATGTAAATGGAGTGAACATAGAAATATGCAGTGTAGGAACTGCTTATTCACAACTCACTTCCATGGTTTTACCAGTCAGAAAAACAATTCCTGATGAACACTTAAGCTATGCTTATCCTAATGGACAAACGTAGTCCATAATTCCCACTCTTAGACCAGTCTTTCAAAATCTGATATTTTAAAATTCTTAAAGCTAGAAAATACAGGCAGCTCATCTGGTCTGGCTTGCCTGTTACAAAACATGAAATTTAAAACTAGGAGATGCTGGTAACAGTAATGCTTGAAGACTTTTCCAGCTGAGGTAAACCAGATGATAGTAGCAGGAACTCATCTGCCAATGAGAATGAAGAAACCTAGGATCTTTGTTTGAGGGGAATTCTTCTTGTCTGAAAAGCTGTAGTGTGATTGTCCCAGAAGACATGAACAACACCCAATGAGACATACAGGATGGGATTTTCTCTTTCATCTTTTAGCAGAGGCAAAGACTACTCTAAGTCTTGGCTCATGAGAGGAGGGCAAAAAGCATCCTATATCTAGCCAACAGAACATCAAAGAAGAACATTCCTTCTCAGCCTTTGCAGATAACTGGCTCAGCCCTGAAACATGATATTTTATTGTACTGCTGACTTAGTGAAGACTGGTTAGTGTTATAAAGACATTGAGACAAAGCTAGCAAGGAGGTATCCACAGGCTCACAAACTCCAGGGTCAAAAAAGACCAGTTAAAATGCTCGAGTAGAAAAACTACATAACTTTTTTTTAATTATTTTTTTTTCACATAAACTCAACTAAGTTATACTTCTGCTTACAGATCTCATTTTAAAGACAAAATGACTTGGTGTCAACCCTGTCCCTAAAATGTATTGCAACATTTAATTGCCCTCAGTACCAGAAAACTGCATCCTATTTATAGATTACGTTTATCTGCATTCAACAAGCTGAACTTGGTTATTTAACCTTGATATTTGTTATCAGTGTTAAAGAATCCCTATACACATACATTAACTATGAAGTAATTTCATTGGGTAAAATTTTATATCTGGCTGTCCTGTTCTCTCTCAGTCTTTTCTCTGATATCTTGAAAAAGTTAAGCTACTTTTACTTCTCACAAGAAGGTTTATTCTTCAACCACTAGATTGCTTTGGCAGCTTTTTTTACAATTCTCAGCAGATTTTACAGATACTTCTTGAATTAGAGTTAACAGCCCTCTTGGGAGCTGGATGTAATGGAGGAAGACTACTTCACTTTTATACAATATCTCCTTTTTATTGTTACAGCACAACTCTTTTACCGTGATATTTCACTGAGAGCTAAAGGTAAGGCAAATATCTGAAATGACACTGAAACCTTTCTCGAAATAATCACATAAGTGCAGTGCTAGACAATCCAGAGCTGCTTTTCACACCGTTAAAAATTAGATTGATCCAGGAAATAATTCATAATACTTACACCTAAGATCCTCCTCTGAACCATCATCAGAGGAATTTATATTTCTACATTACTTACAGAAAGAATGCAAGCTGACTAGACACCAAGACTAAATAGATCTTTTGGGGCACACTCACACCTCCTAGTAATGCAATTTTCTTTCTTTGTTACTTGTGTTTCACTATGTTTAGGTGCACCTATATTGTGTTAGATGTCTAAGATTTATTAGGATATAACTATCCTGGGATGTTAACAATGGCTCCATCCTGAGATGATATGATGATATGGCATGGATATCTATGGTATGGTACAGATGAGAATCTACCTACAAGAGTAATAAATTATGTGTTTATATTAGCAGAAACTAGCAGAAACTCAAAAGGGAGGCAGAGCCAGACAGTGTTGCCTTTCATGGGCAACTGAATATGTGGGAGAGCCAGCGAGGTTCTTTTTGCACTGATATCCCCATGGGGATGAAGTCTGTCTGCATTTATCAGCAAGGAGCTTCTCTATGAGTTGCCATATCCACCAAGCTAATCCCTACTGTGATTACTATGCCAGTAACTCATGAAACAGATTGGGTTTTACTTGCTTTGATATGAATAATAGTGTGAACTAAGGCACTTCAACATTAGAATTGAAAACCATACATGTTTCATAAAGAAACAGAGCATATAACCATAAGTTTATATCACAAAAGGATTACATGTATCAGACCAGATCTCATTACAGATGATATACATCTGTCTGTGTATGTATGTATGTATGTATCTATTTATATAGTTTATGGCTTTGTTATTCACATTTCAAACTTGTCAAATACTTACCCTTTTTGAAGAGATTTCCATTGAAATAATAGGAACTGGCACCTAGGAAACAGGAAATATTTCCTTTCTTAGAAAAAATAATATCTTTTTGCTATGACAATAAATTAGGTAAAATAGTGTTGATGTTTACTTATTACATTCAGCTTCACTTTGCCTTTCTTTAAGATCTGATGCTACAGAAAGATGTGACAAAATTGTGACTTTCAGAAGTATTGCTTTAAAAGTTTGTTAAAAAACAACCATCCAACACTTAATTCAGGATTATAGGAGCCACAGGAACACTGAAACTTCCCTGTCAAACATGACATTAGCTCTTGCCACCACTGAATCTCTTTTGTCCTACTTGAGAGTGGTAAGTGGAGTGTTCTTTTTAACAAAACATTCATTGAAGATAAGATAAAATTAGCAGAAATTCCTTCTTTTACCATTGTCCTTTCTGCCCTCTGCTCCTCTGATTTCCTGGAGCAATGACAAGACATAGCCACTAATAGGTCTATTGAAAACCAGCTTTATCAAGAGGGAAAATTTCTGTGATTTTCTCCCCAGGCAAGAGGTCAATAGTTACACTGCCTAAATGCAGTTGCCAGATTTAAATATCTAAGTTTGGAAGTTAGATTTTCCCTATGGTTGCAAATAAGTTAGTCTCCTACTTTTTGTTGCTAACATAATGTGAATACTAAGTAGAGACAATTTCATTATATTAGCTTTGCCACATACCAAATCCTGAGCTTTAGTTATGGGTTGTTCTTGAACAGAATGGAGTTTTGCTTCATTAGAACTCAGGTTTACCAACTGCAAAAACAGATTGACTGATTCCCTCTCTCTGAGGTTTGGGCTCTTTTTTAATCCGGAGCTCATTTAAGCTTCCAAGGTTGTAGTAGGCACATTTTTGTGCATACAGTTATACTTTTTTAAAATACTTAATTGGATATGAGGGAAAATTAAATAAAATGCAAGAAGTTTCTAATTAAAAGTCACACTACAACCCCCAAGCATGTAAACAGAAAGACAGTAGTCCTGGTTTGCTGCAGTACACTTCACTACTTGGGCAATAGCTCTACCTTTAGAATAACTTCAGTTGAAAATGAAAATTTCCTATCATAAAATAACTAGATCATTAGAAAAATTCTTGCACATGACTATTATATATTTTACTCTCCTCAGATTTTTAGACATGTAATTCTGCAGAAAATTCAAGAATTTTATATATGCTTCATATACAGCACAGTTCACCTTGAATACTTGCAGTTCTTCAAGAATCACTTCTTCCATAGATTCTGTCTCTTGATTGTAAATTGTAATGACTTTCAATACAATTCCATTATCTGGGAATAAATTTAAAAAGAAAAAAAATAAACTAAATGAAAGTTTATAATTGGTTAAACCATTCATATGGCCTTCATTTATATTAAATTACTTCTTCAAACTGATAATGAATAGGAATTTATAAATATATAAAGGTAGTTGCATATTGCTGTTATTGATGAAGATTCTTACTCTTAGAAAATAAACACATATAAAAATTTGTCCCTGGCAAATAAGAGTCAACTGAATCATTCCTGAGCTATATGATTAACTGACTTTTATTTTTCAAACTCTGGGTCATAACCACTTGGTTTGCTGCAAAATGATCAAAGAGGATGACCATATTTCAGAAAAAGAAATAAGAGTAGGCAGGAGCTGAGTCCATCAAGGCAAAGAAGTGTAAAGTAGCTTTAATTATAGTATCTGAGTGTTTACATTAATTAGGAAACTACTAACTATCCTTAATTGCTGGCAGCAGCTCTGTTCCTCCAGGCAAGTGTACAAAAACCTTCAGAGGTTCATTGACCAAAGTTCTCACCCTCCTCTAGGGTGACACCTGCTGTTGAGCTGAAGGTGTTAATCAAAGGAAGACAAACAAACAAAAAACCTGTATATTCAAAAAGTCTAAGGCACGTTGGAGTTTAGATATACCAGCCTCTCTGTCACCACAACTCTTGCAGGAAATTAAAACATATGAATAGCACCTGGTCTTCCACTACTTCAGCTTTGTCTTGCTGACTATTATTAGAATAATCTTGCTTTCCTTAATCTGAAAAACTGTCATCAACAATGGCACATACCACTTCCTTTCTTCTGTTACTTTTAGTCACCTTTGATTTACAGGGGAAATATTAAACAGACAAGCACTGGGAAAAATGTTCAGCAAAAGATCAAAGGGGCAAACATAAAGAGGAACCATTAAACTGGGGTCATACACCACTTCTCAAAGAGAATATGTAATCAAAGGCATCCATTTTGTGACAGAACAGTAAAAAGAAATTGCATTCTGAGCTCTGATTTTCATAAGTATGTCCTTCTTCAAATCCTGCTGACATACACATGAAAGTTAACCCTGATGTTCAGACTTCTCCTTTGATGAACATTTCTAACCTTCACTGCTACCCGAATAAGACTTCTGTTCAGGTGTAAGACCCTGTTTACTTATGTTACACAGCAGGTGTTGGACTCGAATATAAAAAAAGATCAACCCTTTCTAACATTATATTGCCAAGAAAAGTGAGTTTCTTGATGGGAGCTTTGCCAGATCAGAGACTGCAGGTTTGTTTTAGAGTTTTTAAAGCCCAAGTTCCTGGGCTGGAATTTCTTGTCACCTGAGATTAGACATCTCAAGATTAAGCAGCTGTTGGGTTGCCAGTCCAGCGCAGCTCTAACACACACACTTAGGTTCCCTTGAGTTCAACTTTGCTGACCAGAGGACTTGTGTAAAAGAGCATTTGATACAGTATCTCAATCACATTACAATCATCTCACTTATCCACAAATGCAGGTGGAAAATATGAAAAAATTCTAAGCACCATTATAAACCTACTATACAGAAATAAGTGACACATGACACATGACACAATGTTTTATAGACCACACTAAGTCAAATACCGAGACCATAATGAGGCCATTTTAAAGCTTAGAAAACAGCACTAATATAAATAAGCCTTTACTATACTACAATTGTGCTTCTTTGGAACGTTCTCAAGTTTACTTATTTTTCAAAAACCTTTAGAATATGTTTTTTTTTGCTCTGGTTGCTTAGAGTTAGGGCAGTTCTATGATAACCATATTTGTTTGGTAGATGTTTAAAAATCATTTTTAATCAAGCTCTCTGTATCTTACGAAAATGTCTCAAAAGAAAGACAAGAAAACTTGGCAGAAAACTTCTAACAGCTTCTTTTTAAGGAACTTGAGTATTTCCTCCTTCCTTTCTTGAGCTGTGCTGTAACCCAAATCTGGAAGCTGGCAGTTTCTTTTAACAGTATCAGATAGACTTGTGGTCTCCAGAACTGGGGAAAATAGACTGTGGAATAAAGCCAGTAACTTGAACTGATATTTTTGAAAGTCATATCACCTTTGTTTCTCTGAGGTTTCTAGGTGTCAGCTGAAAACTATGCTTAGATACATGATTGTGTTCTGAAGTTTTAAAAATAAGGCCTGTTATTCAAGAATTTAATTTAATGTTCTTGTTTGTAAAGAAAAAAAAAAAAAAAGAATTTAATGCTTAAGTTTCCCTTCATAGTCTTTAAATATTTCCCTACCATTATTTTTCTACTTAATGTTATCAGCACAGTGAAGCACATGCCTAGAATGACTAAACTCCTCTGTAAGGCAAAGATTTGCACAGTCATGCAAAGAATGATTGTTAAAAAGAGACGTTTTATAATTTTTTATTTTCATTCATCCTGGAGGAAAAAAAACAACCCCAAAAGAACAAACAAACAACAACTATTAAATCAATTGCCTTCCTTGCTTTCTTTAATTTACCTGTGCCGATGAACAAGACATCATATTGCCCATCTTCAGCTTCCACTCTGTCCACTGCAATTTGTTTAAGATTGTACTTTCCATCTGTTTTAACTAGTATTGGTCTCTTATGAACAGGCTTGATGGGCTGATACATCAGTGGATGACTCCTGGCAAAATGAACAGCTTCATCAGGATATTCTTTAGTGGTAGTGTACAGACCACCGTTCACCTTGCTGGCACACTGCAAAAATGTAAAACAGATTATTCTGAAGGTTTGCCAAATAAATTGTCAGAGACAGGTCTTGTTTTCAGGGGTAATGACAAATCTGTGGAAAACCTGGCATAAAAACAGGTACAGGAGACCACAGTAAGAAGAGAAATAGTGAACTCTGCTTTATGCATGTGTGGATTATTAATCATGGGAAGCCAAGAAAGAGAATGCAGAACAGAGCCTTGGCATTTTCATGTTTAGAAAGAGGGAGCTCCTTCCTCTCTGACATACTAAGAGCAGAATACATAGTGACACATTTAGACTTTGACAAAAAATATAATGTTTATGTCTTCCTCAAATTCATATTGAAGATGTAATCAAAAGGGCCATTGACAGAGCTAGAAGTAATGGGTTTGCTATCTCAGTAGAGACACAGCCACATATAGTCAGCAGAATACTAATATTTGAAATCAATCTCTAGTCTTATTACTTTTGATTGCAAAATATATTACCATAAGAAACTAAACACACTTAAAAATAATGCCGGCACCAACAATAAGTCTTGATCTCAAGAATTCTAACAGTATTACCTTTGATTCTAATTCCTAACTTACAATGGCAGTATTATATACCATAGTTTATCTTGAAATACTAATGTTTGAATCAATCAACCTACTGTTTTGGAAAGCAAATAGACTTTATTCAATGATTGATGAAAAGAGGCTTACTCCTTTGGTCAAATGTACAATTAGGGATAATTTAATGTGTTAAAGAGAGAAGTTAATTTTAGGATGCTTTGTGAAGGATATAGTGTTTCCTAACTAAACATAGATTCTACATTTCCAATTTGCTTCATGATGTCTAATTGAAACCATTTATAATCAAGCTGGAAATATCTCAGTAACCGTTTGCTTTTTCCAAATATTCATAAGACACCGTGGTTTTAAGAAGCATTTCAAGCAAAGCCACAGTAGCAGCCTTTCCCTATTCAAATTGGATTTTTCAGTCAATAAAATGAAAAAAAATATGCTTTATGTTTACTGGAAACAGTAATTTTAAACTTGTGGTAAACTGTAATTGACAATAACAAACTCCTGCACTTGTCAAGTGGGGCAATGTTTGTTTCCACTTCTTGGGCTTAGCTACAGGAAGGTATTTGTTCAGTGTTGAATTTAAAGTAATTGTCTAATCATCCTAGTGATGGAATTTCACTGGCTGTTTGCAATAAAGAGACAGAGCTGGAGCGTGAAAACGGGCTAAGCCTCTGCTTTCCATGCACTGCACAGCATATCAAGTGAATAGGCATTGCCAGGTTCCCTTTGCAAAGTTCTAACCCCGGAGACATTTAATAAAAATAATCCTTCACAGGCTTTTCATTTTTAATTAAATAAAACTAAGGAGTCTAGAAAGGAAACAGTAGATGCAGCTGTCTCTGAAGTCTATCAACACCATTTTTTGAGGTAACTGATGTCATTCCCAGAAGCATCACAGTCTAAACGCACTAAAAGAATCGGCAAAACAGGAGCAGAAATTATGGCAGCAGCAGCGCTTCAAGCAGACTTCAGAAAGCAGCGGATTGCAGTCTATCAGCACCTGTGTGACTCTTAACAGTGGTTTTCTGTTTATTTATCTTTAAGCTCTACTCTCATTCTTTAGAGACTCCATTTTTACCCATTCAATAGCTAAGACCAAAGAATGCTGACTCTCAGAGATGCCTAATAGTAGGTTATTTTTGACCTCTTGTCACTGTCACTCCTGTAATGGGAAAGGCAGTGGGATCCAGCTTACCAATATGCTGACCTTTTCTTTGGAGTGTGAAACTTAACACTGTGGGCTACAGCCTGAAACATACTTTCTCTTCATGCTACTGGAAAAGCATTGAAAAGACCTCTTAACTCTGCCCTAAATGAGCAGCCAAAAATGAACCCATTAATCCTCTGTTAGCTGGCACAGCCAGCTACTTCAGCCTCTGATGTGCTCTGCAACATGAGAGACAAACGTGACTAAATCCATTAACACCCAGGAAAGATCTGGTTCCTCAACTAACTTGTTCCATGACAATGGGAAAATTACTTGTGCTTTTCTTTTATATCTGTTTGAGCTCCTATGCCTTGCCTGTTGGGGAGGCTACAATCCAGTCTGACCCAAATGTGGCCATTGAGATCCAAGGGAGAGAAGCATTGAAAGTGAGTGGAACTTAGGGCAACATTTCTGTAAATCATTGTCAACTTTGTGTTCTCAGTGTTCTCTCTTCTTGCCAAAAAACCACAATTTAATCTTCAGTGCTAGGAGATATCAATGTAATTACTGTAGTCATTAATACTGGAATCCTGCTTGTGTTTAACACTAGCTCAGATAACATATGTGAGGTGTTCTACTGCTGGGGAAAAAAAAAAAAAAAAAAGAACTTGGACCATATCATCTTTGTAAAAAATACAGCCATTCTGCAATCCATGCATGGTACTGTCTCATTATTTGGTAAAACTGTAAAAACTGCCAATGTGCTATACAAAACATCAAATAGGAAACTAATAATTCCTTTGAATTTGTCAGTTTTGCTAAAAATTTGATAATTTGCTTATCTGTTTTCCTATACTAACTCAATGCCAATGATTTACCTTGAACCACATCAAACAAACAAAAAAACCCCATTTGGTATTGATGTCAGCACTGCTATAGTGGTCAAGTTTATTGACCAAGGTGGTAAAATCATATTCATAATGTTTAAATCTCAGATAATATCTTTTTTGGAGCATCTACTTTTGCATTTTGACTTATTCTGTAACCCCAGGAGATGCAGAGGAAAAGATTAATATAAAATGAGAGAGGACATGCATTCAAAATCATAGCATAGGAAGAAAGGCTGTACTAGTACAGACTAGTTAAGCTAATAGGCCTTTCCACCTCTCACTCCTGTGATTCAGTGATAAATTAATTGTATGCAATGTTTACTTCTGCAAAAGCTTGTATTTAATATAAAACAGAATATTGATTGAGTTAGTAAAGGAAAAACAACACTGAAAATAATGCTCCAGCACAGTTTATTCCGCTGTTAAGCTCAAGAGAGCAAGTCCCTAGCCTGGGAGAAGATAAAGAAGTTTAGCCAAACAGCTATTAGAAATGTCTTTGCATCTCATAGAGTCAAAAATCTATATAATGCTGACATGATAAGGGGTAGACCAGCGAGTGTAAACAAAAACAGCTTTGCAACAGATAACAATTGCCATGGGTGGGTAAGTAGTTGTATTCTCAAAAGGTATGGGGAGAAGAAGAAATCCTTGATGTGAAACTGTATTGGGTTTACATGGCAAGGTTTTGGTAGTGGTGGGCCACAGGGTTGGCTTCTGTGAGAAGTAGCTAGAAGTTTCCCCCATGTCTGATAGAGTCAATGCCAGCTGGCTCCAAGACAGATCCACTGCTGGCCAAGGACAAGCCCATCAGTGACAGTGGCAGTGCCTCACTGATAACATATTTAAGAAGGGGAAAAAGAAAACTGGGGAACTGCAGTTGGAGAGAGGAGTGAGAATATGTGGGAGAAACAACTCTGCAGACACCAGGGTCACTGAAGAAGGAAGGGAGGAGGTGCTCCAGGTACTAGAGCAGATTCCCCTGCAGCCCATGGAGGTCCATGTTGGAGCAGATATTAATTGGCAGCTCATGGAGGACCCCATGTCAGAGCAGAGGGATGTGTTCCGAAGGAGACTGTGACCCCTTGGGACGCCTGCTCTGGAGCAGGCTTCTGGCATAACCTGTGGCCCTGAGGAGAGAGGAGCCCATGCTGGAGCAGGTTTGCTGGAAGGACTTGTTGCCATGTGGAAGGGACCCGCACTGGAGCAGTCTGTTCCTGAAGGACTGCACACCATGGAAAGGACCTATGCTGAAGCAGTGTGTGAAAAGCTGCAGCCCGTGGGAAGGACTCACATAGGAGAAGTTCATGGAGGACTGTCTCCTGTTAGAGGGATCCTGTGTTGGAGCAGGGGAACAGTGTGAGGAGTTTTCCCCATGAGGAGGAAAGAGCTGCAGAAAAAAATGTGTGTTGAACTGACCACAACTCCTGTTCCCCATCCCCGTGCACCGCTGCTGGGGAGGAGGTAGAGAAAATTGGGAGTAAAGTTAAGCTGGAGAAGAAGGGAGGGGTGGGTGGAAGCTGTTTTTTAAGATTTGGTTTTATTTCTCATTATCTACTCTGATTTGATTGGTAATAAATAAACTTCATTTCCCTAAGATGAGTCTTTTTTGCCCATGACAGTAATTGGTGAGTAATCTCTCCCTGTCCTTATCTTGAATGACAAGCCTTTTGTTATATCTTCTCTTCCCTGTCCATTTGAGGAAGGGGGAGTGATAGAGTGGCTTTGGTGGGCTCCTGGACCTGGTGTCCACCCAGGGTCAACCCACCACAGACATTTCTCTGGGTTAGCCTGGCATTGCCTACTGTGGTACTCCTCCTGACTTACAGCAGGAAGGTGAAGGTGAGGGAGGTCCTGGTTGTGCCCCTTCTGTGAGATGCTGGTGGGTCCCTGCAATGCAAAGGGCAACCTCAAGCCACACTGACAGGCAGTGAACCTGAGGCTACTCTCCTTACCCCCTGAGCTGTGATATGAGAGTCCTGGGCTAAGATACTACAAGGATAGAAAATTCAGAACAATCTAAAAGAGTGAAACAGGAAAAGAGTTTGAGATGAAGATTACTTGTGATGTCTTTGAGAAATCAACATAGAAATTGGGAATTCCTTGTAGAAATTAATTATCTGTCTCTAAGTAATGTGCTTATGATTTCCTCCAGAATTTCTGTTTATCGAATGAAAAATCTAAATGCTAGACAGGAAGAACTCTCTACATGACAGTACTAATATAGTTGCAGAGTGTGCTACAACAGCTGCCAGATTAATTGCATTTTTAAAATATGTTTTGTTTCTTTTCTTCACTCAATGTCCATTGGAAGAAAAAAGAATTTAATGAAGAAACTGGTGTAAAAATTAGCGAAAAGCATGAATGCTTTTGCTGAGTTTGATTCTTACCAACATAGTTTTAATATTTCTATATTCTCTGTATATGGTACAGAACAAGCATGTTAGTAAGCTCAGGAACCTGATTTGATGGTAACAAAATCTTACTCTGTGATGTCTGAAAGCAAACCAATGAATTGTGAGGATTCTACACCATTGGTTCTAGAAACAACCAGTCTTGAGAGAAGGACCTCAGGTGATGGAGGATTTACTCCTTATCTGCAAATGTGTTTATTCTGATTAGTTACTTTTGTTAAAATCTGTGTCTCATTTCTAACTTTGCACTGATCTAAGTGATAGAAATATTGAAATTTGTTCCTTTTTGAAAAAAAGGAAGTAGAACCACTTCTTCTTAAAATATGGAATCATATTGGTTTGTTCGTTTTCTTCCTTTAACACTTCTTAAATGCCCTGGTTTCAGCAGACAATAGAAGGAAAGTGAATTACCTTGTGCAAGCTTGTCTTTTCCATTAACAAACTTATTTACATTGGAAAATATTGCATGTATGTTAAATATTATTTAAGGTAATGCCCTTACTGCTTCTGAATGCAGCAGCTGACCCACCTTCTGGAGGTGCCTGTTTCTACTGCTATTGCCTGGGGTCCTAACTTTGGGACCTTAGGACCTTAACACAAGGTTGCTAAATTCCATTCCCAACAGGATTTTGAGAAACCTTATATACTTAATTCCCCTATTTTCCTTTGGGAAATATATTGTTCTAGTACTTGATTAAACTTATTGCTGAGCCATTCCACACTTTTCCAGAAATGTTAGAGTATGTGTATGTTCAAATAAATGTATCCTGGATTGTGAAATCAGGAATACTTGTATATAAGCAGCAGTCTGTTTTTTCTTCCCAAATTCATTTACATAGCAAAGCAGTGGACAGTAGATTGTACTTACTGAACCAGGTCTAGGATAAGGTACTTTTCCTTCGTATAGAGTCCAGTGGTATTCAGGTCCTTCTTTATGAGCATATGGTCCATTGAAAGCTGCTCGGACACTTGCCATGTGGTAAACACATATAGCATATCCTCTAAATATATTGCTATGAAGTAAAATTCAAAGACATTTTTAAAGCAATATGTCACATTCTGTACATATAATACTGATAATATTGTGTAATTAAAAATAAGCCACACTTCAACAGTATTCAGGTAGAAAAAAATACTTAATTTTTGCCATATGCTTTTCTTACAACTATCGTGTCCAATATTCTTTACAAAATCTTTAATGTATTGACATTTATAAGATTTCTCTGAGGAAGATCAATGCTGTTATCCTAAAATTTGAAGATGGTGAACACAGACTCGAAATGACTTGTTTATAAACACAGAGGAAGCACAGTGAACTGAACTCAGGTCTTTTATGACTTTGATTAGTGACTTAAACAGTAAAGCATTTTTCTTCTCTAAGATTTTCCCTGTTGGAGGATGGGAAGGATGGGCATCATCCAACACTGACTTAAATGAACACGAGTCTTTTTATATTGAGTAGGAATGTTGGTTGGTGCTATTAGTTAGATTATCTATATCACTCTCTGTGGATCAATCCACATAAAAGTATCTTTTCTTACTTTTAAATTTTATGCACTTAGCTTCAGAGAAGCAATTAATTATTTTTTAAAGAAGCATCAGTGCTCTCTAGAAAGCACTGTCTCTGAAGGCTCCAGAAGGTGACCCAGATTATTTTAATTAGATGTCCACCTCTCTCTACTGGAGAGAGGGAGCCAGTAGGAAATACTAGGTACTTGTATCCCTAGAGGACCAGATCTGCCTTTCTTTATTCCAAAAAAATAATTCAAGAGAAAGAAATAGTGGCAAAAGCACAGCTGCTCTTCTTCACCAGTTACATCCTAAACTAACAGTTGGATCTCCAAGAAACAGGTACTATGTGGTTGCACTTGAGCTAGGCTGCAGTTCAAAAGGAGGCCACCAGCAACATCACAGCTGGTGTTTTAGGCTTCACTAAGAAGTTAGTAGGAATTTAAGCTGCTATCTACTTAAACTTGAATTACAGTGGAGCTCTTAAAGGAAGACAGGTGGTTCTGATAGGCAGCTGCTCTTATAAGCCTGCAGGAGTTCATATGCTTTGTCACTAGGAAATTTTCAAGCAAAGAAACATTTAATTAATTTATGATCCAGATAGACTGGATCACTGAATGAGACTTCAAACCCCTGAGTGTCATAGAACAGTTTTTACATTAACAAGGAAGCCCACTGTGAACAGAACAGGGATTAAATTGTTTGCTATGTATTTGCTAAGGGATATTTATCATGCAGCTTCTATCTCTTCAATAGACTGTTCAAACATTCCTCTATTGCTGCCATTATTTCTTCGTTGTTTACCTTGTAGTATTGAAGAGGCCAAATATCACCGGATTTTTGTTATCACGAGTTTGCAGCAAATACACATCCTCTGTAAAATTTAAATGCAATGTTATTTGTAGCAAACTACTTTTCTCAGCCCCAAAAGAGAAACTTCATTACTTGTTAGAAGTGTAATCCTATTTTATTCATATATGCTATTTAATTTTATGCAGTTTTTAAAAGCAATTTTGAAAAAAGCATGCAATATGTAAAGGCGTAATTGATGATAGCCAGCTACATATGTATAGAATTTCATACACATTGGAAACAAAACACTAGCGACCATTTCTTGTTAATGATACAAGTACAATATTTGACAGTGAGATGTGTTATTATGAAAGTATATGTTTTGTATGATGGTTTTAAGTTTGTTGCAGTCTAGGATATTTACCTAATTCATCAAAATGCGTATCAATTCCGTTTCTCCCAGGCACAGAGCAAACTAGCCTCGTTTTGAGGAAAGTACTCCATTTATTCACGAGCATCCGTTGGCCTCCCATATCATTCTGCACAGAAAGAAACAAATGCTGATGGTAATTTGAATGAGTAAGTCTAGAAGCACAAACATCTCTGCTGAATTAGCTGCTCGTTGTATCTTTTAATGTCAGAAGCATGCATTTTCAAACCACAAGTCTATTACTAGTATTATTTCTCTGGAATCAGTTTTCAACTAGGATTGCACTGATCAAGTCCAGGTCTCATTAAGAGATTGGGTTTACAAGAATTTTTTAATTCTGTGCTGCATCCATGGATAGTTTTAACTATACAGATGTTGTGAAACTTTTTTATTTCACATTGTTGTCAACTGGATGTACTGAGTACATTAGCAAAGTTTACCTTTGCTTTAGAAGCTCAGTGCAGGGTTAGATCAAGACATTTGGAAACTGAAGCCCTGAATCTATCTATAGAGCTGGTACAGCTCTACAGCAAGTGTCTGTGTGGTGTTCTAACAATTTCTCAACAACTATAAATCCTGCTTTGGAATGGCTGTTTCATCTTTTTCTTGCTATTGTGACTGTCAGACTGTCAAGAAAAGGGGGCATTTAGTGCTACTTAGTAATCGGATGCTGTAACCTTTGGGCAGCATCCTCAAAGCTATAGTCTTATTCGGGTAGACTGTGTAATAGACTGTTGAAGGCTCCATATTAGGTGTGCAAAACTCCTCTCACAACTTCATTCTAAACTACAGAAATTAATTTATTTCCCCAGCTTTACATTGAGTTCTTACAAAAACAGAGATGTATTTTCCTCAGAAAAGTAGAAATATACAGAGTAGGTGCCTCTGTGTTGCAAAATCTGTTATTGCTCAGATGAAAATATAAAAGCTGGAGGGGAAAAAAAAAAAACAGTTCACTAACTAGCTATATTTTTGTATTAATTACATCAAATTTGAATTATAACATACAGCTGTGATATTAACATTCAGATGATAAAGGAATTGGAGTTTGGACAAGTGGAAGAGAAAGGTCTGTGGGATTTTGGTTTAACCCATGGCTAGAGATAAGACATACAACCTAGAGGGAACTATTAAGATAATATATTCAGACATCTGCCAGAACACGGGCCAAAGAATTCTACTTCAGATCTTGATGCAGGCTTGGATTCAGAAAGCCACGGGCTTTGTGAACATTAATGTCTTAGTCTGCAATTTTGTACTTTGCATATTTCAGATGTTTTAAGTTATAGATGAGTATTCCTTCAGGAATTTTAATAGGTATTATGCTGGTGAGCATATGTGACATATACAATATAAATATTGAGGTGCCAGAAGATTTTTAACTTGCTTTTTGCCCAATAGTTTTAAGAATGTATCCCCTACAGTTAGAAAAGTGAATGCAATTTTTTTCAGAAACAAAATCAGATGCTAAGAAATAAACTTATTCCTTTCCTTTAATCAAGCAAATGTAGTCCTAATGGGAATGAGAGAGCTCCTCTCATCAGCCTTACCATAGTTCAATGAATAGAAAAGGAACACACTCAGACTTCATCAGTTGTTCAGAAAGAACCAATTATGGGCAGCTTAATCTGGGAGATCATATATTGACAGTACTCTTCTACAGGAACTGACTGAGATCTCCTTCCTGTGTGTGAGGCCAGGAAGCCAAAAAAAGATGAGATGGACACATCAGGAATGTGGCCTGGGTGGAAAATGGATAATTGTGAAGGGCAGTGAAGGGAAGCAAGGTCTTTCCTCATGACTTTGCTACCCCTTCTGGTAAAACCTTATGCCTCACTGCAATAATAATTTGCTGAACAATTCAATCCTTTGTTCTAGTTTCCTATCTGCACAATTTTCCTTAGTTGTTATTGAGAAGAAAGGGAATGAGAGATTAAATGAAAACATTAGTTAGCAGCTATTTATAAAGCATTCTATAGGTGGTTGACATTACACCGCTCCTATCATTCATGCATCAGAAAGAGGTTTCTAAATTTACAGAATCACAGAATAGTTTAATTTGGCAGGGACCTTTGGAGACCGTCTAGTCCAACTGCCCTGCTCAAAGTAAGTTGCTTTGAGCAAGTTGCTCAGCAAATCACTCAGGCATGTGTCCAGTCAGGTTTTGAATATCTCAAAGGATGGAGACTCTGGGCAGTCTGTTTCAGTGTTCAACCACCCTGGCAGTAAAAAAATGCTTTCTTACATTCAGATGGAATTTCATGTGTTTCAATCTGTGCCTCTTGTCCTATCCAGCTGTCTGATAGGATAGCCATCTACCCTGCACAAAGACAGGTGAGATAAGTCTCCTCCTTGCTGACTGAATAGGAAGGCAAGAGGAAACATCAGAGAGGACTGGTGGCTGGGCTGGTCCTGTCACCAGGAATGTGATCTAACATCAATTTATGTCAGCTGTGAGAGTGGCAAGAGACCCTGGACCTACAGCCAGTACCAAGGGCAACGGAGCCTTGATCTGAATTGAGAATATGAATGGTAAGAGAGGCCTGTGGGCAACTGCTATTACTGTTGCCACATGTCAGCACAAAAAGAGATGTTGCTGAATAACAAGATTTCTGAACCTTGCCCTCCTCTTACAGCAAAATTCAGCTTCAAGCCCAGATTTTGGATTGCTTTTGAGTTTTCTAATGCTTGAGGCTGTTTGGATGTAAGGTTTTCACTCAGACCTATGACTTACTTGCACATACATTAACAGATGCCATATTTGCCTGGGGGAGAAGGACCAAAGGAAGCAGAATGCTTTTTTTTTTCTTTTTTCATTTAGCTGGGCAATCAGAAAAAGAACCTTACCGCACATACACGTCCCACTCTGGTATATATGGCATGAGTGCTTGTCTCAGCCTCTAATGATTTTTCAGTAAAGAAGAAATATACTTTGTTATCATCGTGGTCTTCATTGTCAGGAATTATGTACGAGCCAACAAATTTTGGTTCTTTAAAAGAAAACAAAAAATAATTTAATTCAAGTTTATTAAAACATTATCTTATTTTTTAAATCCTTAAAATCAGATGGTAACAAAGAAAAAAAAATAAAGAATCAGAGATCTGTCAGTCAGAGACCTACTTAAGGGAAATGGAGTGATAGACATAGGAAAACACCTATTTTTTGTGGGTGGGTATATATAGAACATATTGAATACATTAATATCAAACTATTTTTATAGCTCCAGTTCACAAATCAATATTCCTTTGTATGTGTGCAAGAAAAAGACCTTTTTCTGGTTCCATTCTCTGGGGTTTATATGTTTTAATTTGGACTAGGTTAAACCTGGCACTAGTATTCACATACAGTCTCTGATCCCATACAAACCAGGTGTAGGAATGTCAACTTTGGACAAACAGCCTTTTAGATAAAGAAAAAAATTCACTCTGGTAGTTCAGCTAATAGATGTTATTTGAACATTCATCTTCATAGATAGAAGATGCATTATGTGTCTTTGTCATGAAATAAAAACCTTCTAAATTTTTCCTGTTCTGACATTTTTGCTGCAAAATTCAAACTTAAGTTCAGACTTCAGTCCATGCCTGTGTATCTTTTAACATCACACCAAGCAGAGCTGTGAATGATTCAGTCTCATTGAACTGTAGGAAAGTTTTTACAAGTCCTTTAAATGAGAAAGTCATTCGTACAATTAGTATGATTTCTTAAGAAGCAGTGGGTGATGTAAATATTTTCTAACTTCCTGTTGTCTATGAAAACAGTCACTGCATTTTAAGACATTTATACAACACTTGCTAATTTTCTGAAGTATTTTTAAGATACATTTAAAAGTATTCCCTTTCTGCAAATTTAAATTTCAAGTATAGACAAAATGAAAAGCAGTTTGAGGCCATAACTTAGAGAATTCTATACTTAAAATAGTGAAATCTTCCAGAAAGAAGAGAAACTTCACTTGCATATTGTGAACAGCTTACTTGATTGTTGCTACACATATATAGCCAGTCTAAATGCTCAGTTCAGCAAGATTCTGAGTATTGGACGTAAATCAGATGTAAGAATGTTCTAAACATTTTTTTTTTTAATGTATTTAATTCAAATCTTAGGTCAGATTAGTGTAGGAAGAAGTATGCACCAGAACTATTTTCTTTCTTCTGATTCAGGAGAAAACTGTCTTGAAATTTGAGAGAAAAATCTTCTTAAGTCCTTTCACTGAAAAGATGATGCTAACTACTGACTGTCTTTGCCAAACATTACCAGTAATGATGTCACTGTTATGATTAAATATTAGAATATTTTTGGAGCAAAACAAATCAAGATTCTGACTCTTGACACTTTGAAATTCAGTTACATTTCACATCAAAGGGTACAAAACTATTTATAAATTACTCAGCACATAATTTTGGTCAATATTTGTCTTGTGGAATATTTTAATTTTCTTCTTCAATATCACTTGCTTTAACTTCTTTTTTCATTTAAGTCTACCATCATCAGATGTTTATTATTTTGTGTTATTGCATGGCATGTCTTTACTACGCAACTTGGCAAAGACTGAGTTGCTTTATTGCAAAATAAAGGCAAAATTATCTCATCTAGAAAAAAGAGTACTATGTTCTAAGTAGAAGCTCCCATTAATTGAATAGAGAACTTAAAAATTTTATTTTAATTATAACTGGCATATCATGAAATAGTATAGAATATTAAGAGTATAAATAAAAGCAATTTTAAAAGTGAAAAATGCAGGATTTAAAAGTTCCACTTGTTAAATCCAGTATGTAATCAAAGTAAAGATTTTAATGTTCTTCCTGGCAGGGAGTTCATTAAAATTTCCACAGAAAAAAAGGTAGTTTAAACAAACTCATCTCCAAGTGGATATACATATACATGAACACTATCTTTTTAATTTCTGGTTAGACAGAAATTGTCTAGTCATCCAAAAAAACCTCTGGTATTTCCTTCTCCTCCTTCCCATACCTTTCAACAGGCGCTCATTATCAGGTTCAGTTCGGAGATGGGCCATGTGATTCATGGTGCGAAACAAAGCAGCATCTCTTCCCCAGTAGTCACTGTAGAGACCAGTAAAAAGTTCACCACCTGCAGACCATACATTAAAAAACAAAACAATTTGGTAATGCTCTACTTATTAATTTAATTGCATATGATAGGAACTGTATCATAAATGTGGCTCTTTAGTATTTGCTCAAATTCAGGTGAGAAGGCAAGTCAGTAAGTTACATACAGTCTAAAGAGCTTATGGACATAAGCTACCTACCTACCAGCACTGCAACATTTACAGTTGGAACAGCATGAGGACTTGAGCTCATTCAAGAGCTTGGCCTCCTTTTCATTAACTGACTTAATGACTTTGGGATAGATTCATACACAAAACATGAAGACATCAAGTTAACATCTAACCACATCTGCCACAATACCATCTGCATCTAAGGCAGACGTCAGGCATCTAAGTTCAAAAATCTCACTGTCATTCAGTGGCTGTCATTCCATATCATTCTAGTGCCTGGCCTTAGAGACACCTTACGCTTTTTCAGCACATAAATTTTCACCAGGGCAAAGACTCTGACCAGTGGTTTGATTCTGAGCACTTCCAGATGTACCTTGGTCTTGCTAATGAGAAGCAACAAAATGCTTGGTCCCAGAACTGGAAGCGACATGGGTTTATGAGGAGGCAGAAATAACAACAGGAGCCAGAAAATGAAATGAAAATGCAGCAGCAGGTTTCAGAGCTAAGGAAAAGAGCAGCGACAGCTACACCAAACCACTGATTTGGGCTACAGTGCATGGATATAGCTCAAGGCTAAACCATACCTGAATCTACAGATTAGACCTCAAACAGAGGAGTGCTTCCCAAGCATAGTTATCAGATTTGGCTCTGTGCAAAACATAGCTGAAAAAAAGATTCATTATTGACGCATATACTGAAAATACTGGAGGGCTGGATGCCGTTATCTCCCCAACTGGAGAGATAAGAAGCTGTACCTGCTACCTTAGAAGTGATTTCTATAAACAAGCATGTTTTACTAGGCTGAGGGGGTTTTTCCAGTCAGCCTACTGGAGCTGTTCCACTTTACCTGAAATAACTACGGTTTGGGTACAACTTGCTGGCTGAGGGGTTTAGGTGTTCAGTGGACAGAGAAAAAGAGACTATTTTAAATGTGGTCCAGAAATAACTTGTTTTCATATCCTTTTAAAATATTCACCAAAGCAGGGGCAAGATTGAGATCTCATCCATCCTGCACTAACTGGTGATGAATTATTTCCTGAAAAAATTATGGGAACAGAAATTTGGTCCCATTTTCAGAGGGCTTAGTCACAAATTAAGCAAGCATAGGAAAATATTAGAAATAATACACTGATTGCCAATAACTGTTGAAAATCTATATGTAGTTGGGTAAAACTAGATAATACATATGTCAAAAAATCCAGCTTATATCTGTCTGACCCATAAAATGGTGATATCAGATATATTTTACTTAAGTGAAATACCACCAATAATTCTAACTTTTAGTTATGCATAGGTGCAACTCCTCTTAACTGATCAAGCATTGAGAAGAACATATTTCATATCCTTGTGGACTCAGATTAGAAAATTTTTAGGTCAAATTTAAGAAGCAGACAGTTATTGTCACTAGGTGGCATCCTTATGTCAGGAAATAACACAGAAGGAATTAAACTGCATAAGAAGAGGGAAATAAATTATTTCCAGTTCGTGGCTAATCTGAGTGGAGGTTTCAGTGACATGGCTTCCTACCCTCTGATCAAAATAAACATGACTGATCCATTCAAATGACATTTACTGACATTTATAAAGTATTATAGAAAAAGCAAGAATTTTGCTTGCTGGTCTCCCTCAAAGTGTGAATTTTGTTTCTTTTAAGAGATATATATGAATTGAATTGAAGTCTGAATAATGATCCTGAAAAGTTTATTGTTTGGCAGCTGGGGCTGGTTCAGAAATCTCTGCTGTTTTGGAGTTGAGGGTAGCTTTGCCTTAGGCTTCACCGTATAAAGAGTGGATATTGCCTTGTAAAACACTTGATCATGATTTAGTGTAAAATATTGGCAAGTGAAATGAAAAGTAAGTATAAATTATAGCATCAGAAGAAGTGAAGGTTGCTAGAACTAGGAGAGCTTTGTTTTGTAAACAACATGGACCTGTTTAAACAACAGAATTTGCCAGTGTCTGAATAATGTTCCAAACAATCATCATAACCCTAATTAAGTTACATTAACTATAAATCCCCCTTTAAGAATTCCATTAGAAAAGTATCTCAGACTGTCTGGTTTTTATTTTTAATTATGCTGATGTGTAATACAAAACCATAGTGAATCTTGGAAAATGCATTGGTGCAGGATAAATGATTTTTCACATATTGCTAGCAATCAGGATTGACATTTATAAGTCCAGATGTTTAGATGTTTGGATATGAAGCCTATTCCTTCTGTTTGACATAGGTATAAAATGTTGGTATATGTAACTAACCTGCTGGTATGGCATTCTACCATATACCAAGGAAGTTAAACTGATTTTATCTGTGAGATCCTCCTAGGGGGAGAAAATGGAAGTTCCAGTATTGTTCCATGAAAGTTGTTGTACAGATACAGAAATTGTATCTGATTTTTACCTTTAATTCTTACTAAACTAAACATAAGACAAATATCAAGTGTGAGCAGACAGGTCATCTTGCCTAAGGAAACGATGAGACAATACTGCTGAGTGTGACGGGCAAAGATCTCAGCACAAGAACATTCAACATAATTCTGAGATCTTTTGCACTTTTGACGTTAAGAGGACCTTTTCTTTTCCTCTCCAATAGTCTTTTGCACATCCTTTAAATCCATGTTACTAATTAGAACACTGCTAGGTTTCTACAGGTGCTGATTAATTCTACATTTAGAGACAACCCGAGGTTTAGGTTTGAAAAATCCTGGCAAGACTTCTATTCTTTTCCACTGAAAAGCACCTACCACACATCGACTCATTCCTGTCTTAGTTGCAGGGTTTTAAACTGCTGCACATCACACTGATAAACCAGTATTTTCCCCACTCCTCACCTTTTCCAGTCTAATCTCAGCTTCACATGTATTTAAGAAATTAGTTGCCAAAATTTAAGTTTTCATACAGCCTGGTTAACCTGACTAAAACAAGAATAGAAACTTTCTTCTTTCCTTATTTAAATAAACAAACAAAAAAATCCCATAGACGTAAAAAATCTGTTTTAGCTTAAGTGATATATGCATACTTTTTAGCTAGCATTCTTTTCAAGCAAACAAATACATCAAAGTTCAGTTGGGACCATTTAAAAAATACCTTTATTTTTTTGCCCTTTTCTCAAAATATTAACAGAACCAAAACAAACTTTTTTTCTTCTAAACCCAAGAAATCCTAGATGACAACCCTTGAAGTAAAACAGGTTGAAGCATGTGATTTGATTTTAAAAACTTAATATATCCAAGGGTTTTCTATAAATAAGCTGTTTCTACCTTAGAAGTGGGTTTCCTTTGTTTGTTATTGTCATGTTTTGTGTACCTGCTTCAAACTGGAAGGTAATACAAACATAAGATATTATTCATCCATCGTCCTTCTTGTGTAAAATCCCCATTATATCACTTTCTACAAAATGGACTAGCTCTGTTATGAATAAAGGAGTAGAACATAATGAGTAGAACATAAGCAGCACATTTCATCCATTTCTTTGACTGTCAGCCAGTTATTACTCACATGACAACTAAAATCAGAATACCAATACCAATTCACATTTTTAGCAAGTTATACTTTTCACAGTAGGAAAAAAAAAACCCAAAATAAATTAACTATTGCTTAGCTGGTAAACTTCCTGTTTTCTGCCTGCCTCTCAAGTATTCTGTCTCCTGTTTTGAGAGAAAATGTATTTATTATAATTCATTATCTAGAGTGAAAAAAAAAAAGGCATAAATACATGAAATTGTTTTAAAATTGTAAAAATGGAAAATTATGGGAATGGATTCCCTGGATAGAAAAACATATTCAAATGTAGTTTAGGTTTTTCACCACTTGCTTGTGATATATTCAGGTAACAAAACAGACATAAATTAATTTCTCAGCTTTCAGGAGCTAGTGTGGTCTATGTTAATCAGTGTGCATGATCTGTTATAAAAAATAGTTTTGGCTATTGAAAACAGATGGGAGAATTCATTAGAAATAAAAGTCCAAAAGTTTTATATGCCCTTTATCTAAATATATACATTTTATTCAGCTTGTCTGCCATCCAACATCGATTCTGTTTCCTGATGCTGACAATAAATTGTTAAAAGTTAATTGTTCGTAAATTGAGGATTTCATCACAAGCTATTTTACCACTGAGCCAGATAACCTGTAATAAAACTTAAGACAGCATGGATATTTAGTTTTAAAGCCAAGTCACGAACTATTGTTTTCTTGAAGTGGGTATTTTAACTGATGTGTTGAAATACATGAAGAGATACAGAACAAGAGATTCTCTTTCTTCCTGAATTAATGTAGCTAAAACTGGTTCAAATTAGTGATGCTGCAAATGATCTCTCAGGATCAAGATTTCAAAAGCTTTTAAATGTTTGTCAGAGGTATGTAATCCTCACTGTTAGTCAATAGCCATGCTGGTGTAGGCTGCTGTCTTATTGTGAGTTGTAGAGGTGGAAGCAGGTTTTGAACTGTTTAATTTCACTGCTGGGATGTGAAAGTCTTTGCTAACGGGTTTGCATAAAACCTTTTCAAGGACATACACATTGGCTGAACCTACATGGGAGAGTGGAGGTAATTCTGGGGTGTAGCTTCCAAGGGTATGCTAACTCTATACCAAGAGCAAATTTCACTTTCTAAGAAAATTGGAGTGCCTGAAGAAGAAAGGAGCCTCCAAGCACTGAAGGAAAGACTGGAAGACTAGTCCTGAAGGGTGCATGGTGTAGTTGTCATCTTCATGGACTCCAGGATATTTTTCCTAAGTGTTGGAAGTATTTAATTCCAACAGTATAAAAAATATAGAAGCATAAATAAAGTAATAAACTCTTTGAAGGACTTTGTTATGCTTTTAAAATATCATTCTATGATTACTTGAAATTACAGAAATCCCAATAGAGGCCTAGAAAAACAGCCTGTTAATACCTTTCTTGGGTCATGTTGGCTTTGATGAAGGGGTGAATGTCTGTTTTTTATGTTGTATCAGTGATCTGATAAAAAATTCATTATTTTCTCCTGTTAATCTTGCCACATTACAGAATTGTTAGCTTTGTGAGACTGATTTTATAAGTCTTTGTCAGTGGATGTCCGAGACTCTGATCAGCATTTATCAGGGAAGGGTTTATTTAATGGATTTCTTTTTCAGATAATACTATGAGGATCCATAGGACCTCCCATAATCCAGGCAAACTAATGAATAGGCCAGAAATACAAGAACTAACCGTTAGTCTTGAAGTGCTCAGTGGGACAATCTGGCTTCCATTTAAGTAATAAAATTCACATTGATCTCACAGTAGGAACATGATCAGGTTAATTTATTTACTTAGTTCTGTCTGAGGAAAGGTTGAGAAGGACTTCAAGATTAGACCATGAGTTTTCAGGCCTACAGCAAATTCCACTGGCTAAGTCTTTGTTCCCAGGCTGAGCTAAGACTGGAATCTGTTAAAACTGAAGAAACAATTTAGAAATAAGGGAGGAAGAAAAGCATAACAATCTGTGCTTCATGGATTTTGGAAGGTCAGTCAAAATACATCATTTTTTTTCTGATTCTTTCATGACTTCTTAACCCACTAACTCCTAAGAATTTTAGCTGTAATTTTTGTTTAATGGGAATGAAGAAAATTTTGATGAATTTCTGCAATTTGAAAGATTTGGCATTGCTGGTGAAGCTTCCTGTTGTAAGTAATTTGTTGATATAAAGGAACACGTAAACCTAGCATGCAAAAATATATCTGTCACTTGTGACCAATACTTCCTCATCACCATGGGTGAGATATATCATTGTAGTTAATAATCAGAGATTTTAGCTGTCTTATTTTAAGATATAAAGTAAAATGTAAATGTCAAAGGACCCTGAAGTTCTCTAAGTTTTTTATTCCTGAAAAGTTATTTGGTCTAAATTTATCCTTTTTTTTTTTTTTTTTTTAGCTCATTCTTTTAATTACTATTATTTTGAATGTTCAGTTTTCATCTCATTTATATTTTCTAAAAACAGAAATAACTTTCACCCTTTACCTGCTGTTCCAGCCTATTTTTAGTCAATGTAATATTGCCAAGAGTATGTTTGCTTGATCACATAAAATGTTTTCAGGAAAAAAACATGCAATTTGCTATACTACAACTTCAAAGGTCCCAGGTCTACAGTGATATACTTACTAACAAGGCATAGAGGAGCACTGTCTCAGCACAGCTTTCTGGCACTGCAAGATTTAGACTGAATTATATTTTTATAACTGCTGAGTATAAGATCAAATCTAACAGAGAATCACCAGTTTTGGATAGTTTTGTTAGAAGGCAGCATTGGAAAAAATCTATTTTGATCTAAAAAGCTGTAATTTATATAAAAATAAATGCTTGATATAAAAACAGTTAAATTCACATTTTTAGAAGGTGCTTGTTACTCAGATTACATCTCAGTAGGTGAAAAATAATAAATTTTGTGTCTTTGTCTCAGTGGCATAAACAACTAAGCTAGACATATTGCTTTGCTTTGAAATTGTTTTTTCCAAAATTATACAACAATCAACTACCTCTTCAGGATGGCACGTGTCATATAACATCTACTCACTTCAATGAGACACCCTTGCTGGAGTTAATGCTGCTCGGGATGTAGTATTAATGTGGGCAGCACCATGAGGATTAAGTCTGACATGTGGAAGGTTGCAATGGAAGACTGACAACACTTCAGTGTGCTGAAGAAAGAGACTCAGAATGACAGATTGACAGGACCATGAAGCTTGTGACATAAAGATCATTACCAATTAAGATGGAGGTGAAGGAAGAACTGGGGTCAAAGGGGCACCTGCCTCGTCCTCTCTCAAATTTGTGCGATTCCAGTTGAAACAGATGATCCTTTAAAAAAAAAAAAAATCACAGCATAAAGCCTACAGGCAAAGAAAAAAAGACCTTAGAGACAAGTTTTAACTTTGTTATACTTTTGTAATTGATTGACTTAATTAGGGAGAAAACACAATTATGGTTGTTCACTGATGTACTAGTAAAAATTCTCCAGGTTTCTACAAATTATCTTTGTCTGTGCACTGCCCCAAAAGAGCCAGTGAAATATGCACTAAAATTGCTCTTATTTCATTTCTGTGGGAGTAGAGAGTGAAGATTCCTCTATCTTTTCTCCAAATTATCTAAACATTAAATAGATATCTAGCCATGGAATGTGTTTTCCCTCTTTAAACAATTTTTTTCCCAGTAGTTGTTAAATATATCATGCTGTGCTATCTTCTGTTGGTAGCTTTGTGATGTTTATATATCTTCTTCATAGAAGTGTGTTTAGGATTAATCCCCAGTTATGGTTTTCAAAGCAGGTGTGATTTCTGCAGTGGATTTAACAGAATATCAGTATAAAAAGAATATGGGCAACTTAGTTTAATTTGTCTATATAAGCCTTTAAAGGCTGAGAAAGAATTCACAATTCAAATTTTCATTTGCAATGCTACATTTGTCCCAGCTTTCCCAAAAGAGACCATTAATGTCTGATTAAAATATCAAGTGAGAGCACAATATTTTTGTAATTTATATATTAACAAAAAACCACACCACAAAACACAGGGATGAGGGAAATAGGTTAAATAGAGAGAAAGCTATGAAAGCTTCATAAAAAATACGCCACCCAGCCATCAAGTGTGTGACTGTTAAACATTTTAACAGTTTAACAGTTCCAGTTCTGTGTAACCATTTTACTCAAAAGTCTACTGAAATGTAGACTATATCAACATATTGGATAAATACAACCTATGTGTTCAGTAAACTAATCTCATGTTCACATTGCTAATAAACTAAGGCAAATGTTTTGTGAGGACCCCAAATCCACCAGAATTTTGAGGAGGATCTGCCTGGATCTCTTACAGCAGACATTCTCAAAGACGTCCAAAGGATTTTTAACCATAAAAATAATGTTTTATTAGACCTGACTTTTCAGGTATTCATTAGAATAACTCAGTATTTGTACAGAAAATAAGCTCAGTATATCTAGACTGAATAAAATAGTGTCCTGGTAGTCCTTATTTAAGAATATGTAGTCCTTTTAGTCCTTTTGTCCATATAGCAGGTTCTTTTTTCTGCTGTTGGTTACATTCATATCATTTTGGGGGGTTGTAGCACGTGCAGCTTAATCCCTAGAAAATTCTGTCTTTGAGAGATACAGAAACCTGATTATGTGTTTGCTCTCTGCAATGCTGTATTCCCCACTCTCCTTCAGATCATTTATCTATATTCACCTACCCCACCCTACAACCCACAAGTCTCTCTCTTCCCAAACAAGTGCAATTGCCTACAAAGAAAAATTAATGTTCTCTTTTAATCAGGTAGCTCTACTCATGACAGCTATGCTCTCCTGGAAAAAAAAAAAAAAAAAAAAACAAACCCAAACAGACAAAAACCCCCAAAACAACAAACAAACAAAAAACCACCAAGGAGCAAAGAAGCGGAAAAGATATTGACCATTGTGTGGGATGGGAAACTGGTAAGATAGTAATAATAATAAAAAAATATTTTTTTAAAAGGACAGATGGGAAACTGGTAAGATAGTAATAATAATAATAAAAAAAAATAAATTAAAAGGACAGAAAAAAAAAGATATAAGGAAGTGGGAAGTTGTAGAGCTGTTAATTCTTACTCATTGATAAATAATTGAATATTTCTATGTGTTTCATTTAGAACAGTTAATCTTGGATTTGTCACAAACACCTCTCCTGCAAAGTATTATTCACTCTTTAATCCTTAGATCAGCCGGACTGATGTACCTGTCTTCCATTCCCATCTGTCTGAATAATGCATGCCATTTGGCATCTGATAAAAGTTAAGATTCCCATTAGCTAGAAAGTTTCTATAAAAATGGGAAGTAACTCAGAATGCAGTTCTGAAAAAATAAGGTATCTGTTTCATGTCTACTTTAACTGAAAATAGTAAGCAAAAACCATATACAATTTAAGTAAAACTCACAAGGAAACAAGCCATTCAGAATCTCACCTGTCTAGAAGCTCCTGTGTTGAGCTAACCTTGGCACATTAGTGCCTGATGTTAAAGCTGATGCAGCAGAAAATAATCACCCTGGACAGAGACTGATGGTGCAGGAATATTATTTTCTGCTGTATCAGCTTCAATTGCACATCAGTAGTAGCTATTCCCCCTCTGCTGTTGGGTAAATGTCAAACAATGAAGAAATATTTCTCTGTGTATGGAAATCTCAGCTCCATTCCATACTTTTCAAACATCACACACCAGATATTTTTCAAAACTAAATACCATAACATTTTGGGTCAACAGCATTAAAAAAAAAGAGTAAGGTGAACTCAGGAAGGGAAAGAAAAACCTGAACACATGCAAAAGGATTAGGTAGTCATAATTGTCATAAAATGTAAAGGAAATATTTCTGAAAACAATCTGACATTATTTATTCTCTAACTAAGTATTAAAAATAAAGTTATTAATGAAAAAGTTTGTCTTCTGGGATCTCAACTAAACTGTCAATTAATTGGTTCAATAAAGAAAATCACCTAATTTTTAGAGAGAAAGAGGTACTAGTAAGTGGAGAGATACACTGAGAGTTAAAATTTTTCTAGTCTTAGTGCTTTCTGTTCACGTTTCCTCACAGTAAAATAAAAATGAACTTCTATGAAATAAAAGAGTAACAAATTTAAAACTGATTACAGAAAACCACATATTTACTCAGGTAAAGTGGTCAGGTGTGGAACCAAAATTATTTCAAAACAATACTTGAAGAAGTTGTATTATGCATACATCATTGTTTATAGTGTATGACTCATATTTAATTATACATATGGAATAGAACGTTTTTTTTTTTGTTTTTTTTTTGTGCTGTAGAACAAGACATGATCCCACCAGGGCATCATAAACCACACTTTGTACTCTGGTCTTCCCCTTGAAAAACACCACTAATATTCAGACCAAGGAGACTTGGTCAGTATGGAAGTCTTTCAGATGATGTGGAAGGATTTTGTGTCACTGTTCACCAATTTATAGTATTGCAATGAAAAAGCTGCTACTGTAGTTAATTATTCCCCTGAGAATCAGAATGACATTAATGATAAACACATTTCTTTTAACATTCATTACATGAATGTGATTAAAACAGCTAACTATATGACCATGGAGTGAAAATGTTAAGTAGTATGCATAGTATCCTTTCGTTATCTACATTTTAACAGCTGGAATTTCAGAATAAGATTGTAGCTTAAATATATAATCTAATGTTAACACTGAAGGTAGACAAAAATTTGGATTTCAGTGCAACTTGAAGAAGTTTTTAAGTGGATCTTACCAGTTTTGATATAAAGCAGGATGTGTATCTCATAAATGCTTGCAGATGCATGTAACTATCTGAAAAGTCACAGAAAATGTAAGCAATGACTCCTCCAAGTGAGATTTTCCAGCCTCACCTTTTAGGACAGCATACCAAATATTCCATGGTTGCAATAAATTATTCTCATCACTGAGGGAAGTAACTAAAGATGAGGTGCTAGATGTGTCAGAGATGTGCAAGCTTCCATGGAATGCCAGTTTAAATGAAATAAGTGTTACACATCAATAATCAGCTTTGAAGGCTAATACCATAATTCTAACCCTCCTTGCCGTTTGTAACATTGGAATCCCTTGAGAAATGTCAGAAGAAAACTGACAGTTTCCTCACAGATTATCCAACACAGCAATTCAACACTGCAATTTATTTTACAGGCAATTTTCAGCGGTTAGGGTAAAAATTACGCAAAATCACGTATGGAGGGCTGGGAGTGGAATTATAAATTTCTACATGTAGTTTGGGAAAAAAATTAGGTTCTAGGTTTTATTTATGATACCTATGACTCAGGAAACATAATATGCTTCCAATTATTATTAAAATAATAATGTTTAAAAAGAAATAGAAGATACTTCCAAGGGCATCGAGCATATTGCCATTAACTTGGTATTAATTGATGATTTTAGACAATGAAGAATAAGGTAGGCTATAAATAGTAATGAAGGAAAAGGTCAATCAAAGACATTAAAATTTAAAGACTGCATTTAATTTTTGTTGCAGAAAATTGCTTTCTCTAGGTGCCAAGTGCTGCTTTGCTCTGGTTCAAGACAGCATTTATGCATATGATTAATTTAAAACATATGCTTACTTCCATCCCTACTCAGCAAAGTACCTAAGCCTATTCTCAATGTTAATACAATGACTGTACCTTTTCACTAAACCAGGCACTTAAAATATAGAGGCTTTGGTTGGGTTTTCCTACAATATTATTTTTATGAGAAAAAATAATTTGATCTTCTGTAAGGGGATATTTTTAAACTTTAAATTTTTATTATCTTCAATGTAAAAAAAGCCCCGAAACCATATCATACTGGCATTTTTAAAAGGAAATTTAAATCATTTCAGAACCTTTAATTACATACTTAACTGTGCATGCATATGTTCCAACAGTATAACCACAGTCTACTTTCCAAGTGACTTGTGTCTTTTTGTGGTTGGTACTTTTTTGTGTGGTTTTGTTTGTGGTTTTGTTTTTTTTTTTTGGGGGGGGGGTGTTTTGTTGTTTTTTACTAAGTCCATGTTATTTATATTGTGGGACATAAAATCGTATGTGGAGTATTGTAAGGAGAGACTAAGCAGATTTTTGTGAATACAGTTTTTAACACTGACTATGCTACTCACTATTACTGTAACTCACTGGACAAAATTCCTTCTTAGCATTAATGATCTCACAGTTATTCAACCTTAGAGGAAGAATGACATTACATGCAAGAGCTGTTTGCTGTGTTTCATTGATTAGGGGTCATATATTTGAGACTTTTTTAAAGAGAACTATGAATAAGAATGTTCACATGCTAAGTAC